CCGCGCCGCGCTCTGCCGGGCCCCCCGCGGCCGTCGCGCGCACTCAGCGCTGGCCCAGCTGCATGGCATCCTGGAGGAGGAGCTGGAGGGGATCCGCGGGGCTGGCACCTGGAAGAGCGAGCGGGTCATCACGTCGCGCCAGGGGCCGCAAGTCCACGTTGACGGCGTCTGCGGAGGTAGCGCCCCCTCCCGGGAGTCGTGGGACGTGGCCGGGTGGTAGCCCTTCCGAAGCTGCGAACTGCGCGGGGTCTTGGAGGCGGTGGGAGGCGGGCGCCCCTGCGCTCGTGGCCACGGCCCCTTTTCCAGCTGTCAGGCCCACTTCGCCCGGTGTTAACTGTAACCTGGTTAAACCCGTGTCCGTGAAGGGAGGTGATTTGCCCTTGAGCACTTGTTTGAGTTAGAGGGCAGGGCGGGGCGGAGAGAACGTGAGAAAAAAAGAAACGTGCCCAGCTGGGTCCCACCGTGGCTGCTTCAAGGGCGGGTGATGGGAAGGCGCAGCCAGAAACCCCGCATTTCTGGAGCGCTGCTTTGTGCACGTGGACTTCTGTAAACCTCCAAACATAGGAATGACTAATCCCACTTTACAAACGAGAAAGCTTAAAGATGTGACGTGAGCTGCCCCACAGCCCCCAGCTAGCTGCAGGCAGAGCTGGACTTTGGTCCAGGTCCTACGGTATAGTGGAGCTGGAGGGCCAGCTAATGGGCCAGAGAGGCCAACTTCCTGGCCAAAGTCACAGTGAGCAGGGGCTCATGGGCTGCTGCGGGAGTCACACCATGAATTGACCTACCAGGTCTCCCTCGTTTCTGTCTAACCAGCCAGCAGTCACTGCCCCTGTTTGTGCCAGGTCCCAAGTGGGTGCTGGTTATAAAGGCCCCCTGCCTTCTGCCCAGGAAGTAGGCATGGAGTCCTCGGTCCTTTTGCACGCATTTGTAACACAGAGGTCCCAGAAAATCCCTCCCTTCCCCCAGGGGAAGCTGGGAGCAGGTCAAAAGATGGGAAATTAGGAGACCCCGGGTGTTCATCCTGTTTTTGCCTCTCCCAGGTTGAGTGAACCTTCCTCAGGCCTCTGTTTCCTCCTTGGGTCAGATCTCAGAAGCACCCCCTTTTGGTCCTGTGATTCTATACCAGGCAGCAAAGTCAACTGTGGAGTTTGAGAACCACAGTGAGCATCTGACCCAACCCTCTTCATTTACCCAGGAGGTAACCAAGGCCCAGATGACTGTTGCTGGTGGTCCTCAGGGACAGGAGAAGTCTGTGAGGCAGGGCTGAGTTCCTCCTTGGGGGGGAAATGTGATTCAAAGCCAGAGTTTAAATTTCTCATCCTTCAAGGTGCCACTCTGAGAATCTTTCCTGACCCTTCCTCTCCTGTAGCTGGTGGATTCAGTGCCTCCTAGGGGCCCTCAGCTCCCCATCCTGGCCTCTGCCCCAGAATGGATCATATGTGTGGTGGTTGCCTCCTCAAGGGTGAATCTGGGTTCACCTATCTGGGTCCCTGGGGCCTGGCACTGACACCTTTCCAGGCCTTTCCTTAAGGCCTTGAGCTGCTGTGTCTGTTCCTTGTCTTCCACCTCAGGAATCCTTAACTTCTGTGCCAACAACTACCTGGGCCTGAGCAACCACCCTGAGGTGATCCAGGCAGGTCTGCAGGCTCTGAAGGAGTTTGGAGCTGGCCTTAGCTCTGTCCGCTTCATCTGTGGGACCCAGGTACACAGTGGGTGTTGGGGTAGGGGAGAGAGGTGGGTAGAGTGGGGCCTTGTCCCCAGCATCGGGCACTGACCCCAGCTATCTGCTTCCCAGTCAGCAGGGCTGGTTTAGCCAGCTCAGCTCATCCCATCCCAGGACTGTGGGCCCGCTCTTAGCTCCAGAGCTGTCCACTAGAAAGGCTGGGTTCAGGCTTCTGTTTTGCTGCGAAGCCTTGGGCAAGAAACTTGACCTCTTCGAGCATCTGTTTTTCCACCTGCAGAACAGAGTTCACCTGTCCTACAGGAAGGGAATAGAAGGCAGGGATTGAGCTAGAGGGTTTGGGAGCTGTTCTGCCTGAACTCAATTCCCAGCACCACGTTTTCTGCCTTTTTTTTAAAATTCACACCCAAGGATATGTTTATTGATTTTAGAGAAAGAGGAATGGAGGAAGGGAGGGAGACATCGATGTGAGAAAGAAACATTAATAGGTTGCCTCCCATATGTGCCCCAACAGGGAATTGAACCCACAACTTTTTGGTGTAGGGGACAACACTCCAGCCAACTGAGCCACCCAGCCAGGGCCCAGCACCAGCTTTTATTGCCTGTTACTCTGGGCAAGTGTCTTAACCTCTCTGTGCCTCAGTCCTTTCATTGGTAAAATGGGGATAGTAGTTCTTAATAGAGTATAAATTAAAGCATTAACACATGTAAAAATGCTCAAAACAGTGCTTGACATATAGCTTGAATGTTGGTTATTGTTTTATTTGGTAATGTTACAAAATAAACTCATACAAACATGAAACTTATAGTGCTTACAATGTATCAGGTACTGTTTTAAGAACGTTACAAATATTAACTCATTAATGCTCAGAACAGTCCTAAGTGATAAGTGCAGTTTTCATCCCTGTTAAAGAGATGAGAACGTTGAGGCCCAGAGAAGTGAAGTGACTTGCTTAAGGGCTCACAGGCTGTCATGGTAGGATTTGAACCCGGGTAGCCTGGCTCAAGAGTCCATGCTCCTGGCTACTTGTGATTATTATTACCTACCCTTTCCGAAAAGGGAGGATTCAATGAATGATGGAACTCCTAAATCCCGGCCAGGGCACTTTCCAGCAGAAGCCTCACCCAGACCGGACAGCTTTCACATCTAAGAATTCAAGATCCAGATGAACTTAAAGAGTTCCTTATGTAATCTTCTTTGCCATAAAGCAACCAAAAAAAGCACTCAGTTTGATATTAGGAAGACACGACTTTCTTTGCCATCAGTACCCATAATTTCACTATCCAACCCTCTTTACTAAAAGAAGAGCCGACCGGGAAGGGACATCTAGCAAGTCCCTGATTCCTCAATGAGGACCATCTGCCAGATTCCTGCTGGCACTGAGGAACCCTTGTGGTAAAGAAAGAAGGGAAAGGCCAAGGCTGAAGGCCTTCTAGGCTGGGTGTGTTTGTGGCCACCTAAGCCTCTGTCCCTAGGACTTGTGCCAGGCACCCTGCAGGCATTAACACCTGTCTCATTCACTTTCTTCAGAGTATCCACAAGGATCTAGAAGCAAAGATAGCCTGCTTCCACCAGCGGGAGGATGCCATTCTTTATCCCAGCTGTTTTGATGCCAACACTGGCCTCTTTGAGGTATGTGGGGGCCGTGAGTGGGAGTTGGCGAAGCCTGCTAGGCTGTGGAAGGAGTGGGCAATCAGGAGAACCTGGCAAGATGCCAGTGCCACGGCGAGGGGCTCCAGTGCTCATTTCTTACAGAGGTCAGGTTGGGCCAGGTAGTGCTCCAGAAAGAATCCTGAGGTTTGCAAGGAGGCCATCTTCCAAGGTATTTGGGGATAACCTATATCAGCTGGAAGGCTGGAGGTGGCAGGGGCCAGGCACTCACCAAACATATTCTCACCTGCTCTCACTACAGCAGGGCTCTGGTTCAGCCTAGTCCTGGGGCTCTGGGGACCCAGATAGAGGCAGAGGGCTCCTTGCCTCCCTGCCCAGCGGAATGCAAGTGAAATTTGGACTCAGGGGGAGTCGTAGGAGAGGGAGAACACCAAGGTGGTTAGGTGATGGCTGTACTTCACCTGCCTTCTTCCAGGCCCTACTGACCCCGGAGGACGCAGTCCTGTCAGATGAGCTGAACCATGCCTCCATCATCGATGGCATCCGTCTTTGCAAGGCCCACAAGTACCGCTATCGCCACCTGGACATGGCCGATCTAGAGGCCAAGCTGCAGGAGGCCCAAGTAGGACAAGGCCCAGGGGTTCCAGGGGCTAGGATGGCTTATTCTCAGCCCCTCGAGGCCAGCTCCACACTCACAGACAAACAGCCTGAAAGTTTGATACAGCCAAAATTTGAACCCAAATCCCTCAGACTCCGAGCTTTTTTCCATTGCACATGCTGCCTCGGGCACCTTATGTATGGCAGGCTCTTAGTAGGCATAGCGGTGCGATGAGCTTATGGAAAGAACTGGCCCCGCCCCACACTGCTCTCTGAAGGGGACACTGAGAGCATTCTCACTACCCAAGCCTAAGTGTAGCTCCAGACTGCCCTGAAAGAGATGAGGAAGGCTCAGAGAGGCAAGGAGGAAGATGTCCCACTCCCAGTACAGTTATGCTTATGTGCCCACCTCCGTGCTGGGCACTGGGCAAGGCGAGCTCCTAGAGCCCCAAGTAGCACAGAAGGTGGGTAGTTTGGCCCAGCTTGTGACAACAGTCGCCACTGTCCTTGCCTTCCCTTGCAGAAGCATCGACTGCGCCTGGTGGCCACTGATGGGGTCTTTTCCATGGATGGTGACATTGCACCCCTGCAGGAGATCTGCCGCCTCGCAGCTCGATATGGTGCCCTGGTCTTCGTGGACGAATGCCATGCCACTGGCTTCCTGGGGGCCACAGGACGGTGGGAGCATGTGGCACCCGAGGCCTTGGGTTGGGCTTCTAAGGGTGGGTGGGAAACCAGGAGGCCAGCCTCCAGCTTGCCACATGATTGCTGGGCGCTCAGGCGGCCAGTAGTGGCAGTGGCAGCTTTCCTTGCAGGGGCACGGATGAGCTGCTGGGCGTGATGGACCAGGTCACCATCATCAACTCCACACTGGGGAAGGCGCTGAGTGGAGCGTCAGGTGCCTACAGGGTTGTGCCCCTGGCGTCCCCTTATACACATGCAGGGCCCTGGAGGAGTCTCAGGAAAGGTGGGGAGGGGAGACCTGGGACTGCAGGCAAGAGGGCAGCGTGGACTATACTCCCAGGAGGGGCTGAGGGTAGGCTCTGACTCCTGACCCCTGACTAGCCCCACCTCTGCCTTTGTTCTCAGGGGGCTACACGACGGGGCCTGGGCCCCTGGTGTCCCTGCTACGGCAGCGTGCCCGGCCCTACCTCTTCTCCAATAGCCTGCCGCCTGCTATCGTTGGCTGTGCCTCCAAGGCCCTGGACCTGCTTATGGAGAGCAATGCCATTGTCCAGTCTATGGCAGCCAAAACCCAGCGGTACAGTCTCTGTCAGGGGTGGGAAAGGCCGGAGTGGGGAGCTACTGAGGCCTGCCCCTGTGTGCCTGCCCAGCCCGTGCCTACAGGTTCTGCCTGTGCCCATACCACATCCCCAGCAGGTTGCACTGGGACTCAGCGTGGCCTCCACTTCCTGGCACGTTTTTCTGTGAATGACCCTGTGTCTCCCCATCTTGTGCAATTCTATCTTTCCACCTCGCTTTTTGGTCTGCTTGTTCCTCTGCCTGGCTCCCCATTTGACTTTCTGGGTCTGCATCTCTGTCTTTGTTCATCTCCTTTGCAGATTTGGGCACAGATCTTGGGTCATGTGCCCATCAGGAGTGGGTATGAATGATCCACAGCCCCCCAGTGACCTGTGACACCCAGCTTGTGCCCACAGGTTCCGCAGTAAGATGAAGGCTGCTGGCTTCACCATTTCGGGAGCCAATCACCCCATCTGCCCTGTGATGCTGGGTGATGCCCGGCTGGCCTCTTGCATGGCGGATGACATGCTAAAGAGAGGTAAGGAGGCCAGGACAAAAGGACTGGCTGTGGGTCCTAAGAGAAAAGAGGGAGGAACCCTGGACTGTGACTATTCCCCCTTATCCCCACCCTACTACCCTTTTTAGACCAGCTGTCCAAACTTGAAACCCAGGCCACGAGGCAGTCCATATCTGAGAGACCATAGTCAGCTCCCTTGCCCTCTGATCCTTAGGAAAGTAGGAGCTATATGTCATGCCCCAAAGCCTGCCTGGCTCTGATGAGTCCCAGGTTGACCCTCTCTATCTTCCCAGGCATCTTTGTCATCGGGTTCAGCTACCCAGTAGTCCCTAAGGGCAAGGCCCGGATCCGGGTACAGATCTCAGCAGAGCACAGCGAGGAGGACATTGACCGCTGTGTGGAGGCCTTCGTGGAGGTGGGGCGGCTGCACGGGGGCATTACCATGAGCCCTGGGTAGTGACATGCTGAGCCAAGGTCCCCCTCCCTCTGTAGCGACAGAGTGGGCCTTGGATCATCAGCCCAGGCCAGCGGCTCTGAGCCCTATCAAAGTCCTAGGGCCAGGCTGGGGCAAGGCACGTGCTTGTGGCAGTGAATGTAAAACAACTGTGGCAATTGGCTTTGACATGTTGGTCGGCTTCATTCTCTCTGAGCAGGTTGATCTGCTCTGTGATCGGTTGAAGAAGCAGGCAGGAGTTGGGGCTCTGCGGGCAGGCTCCTGAAAACTAGTAGACCTCAGAGCTGACCACCTCCCCCAAATTAAGATGAGACCCAGGCATCTGGCTCAGTTGGATCCTGTCCTGCTATAGAGGGAGCTGAGCACCAGCTCTGCAGGACCTTTCCCACGCCCCCCGCCCCCCACTCTGCAGCCTCCACAGTCTAAACTTGGCGGAAACCTCGCCCTCAACTCCCCATCCAAAGGATGGCCTACGGCTGCCCAGATAAGAAAAGGCTGGGCACCCAAACCCATATTTGGAGGAGAGGGCCTGCCATCTAGAACCCTGTTTCTGGCCCACTCTGTAGCCTGGGGGAGGCCCCATTCCCAGCAGGTGCCTCAGTTTCCTCCGCCAGCATAGATTTATGTTAATGTCTGGGGCCATTCCAGCTCAGTCATCTCAAGGCCTACTGGCCTGACGAACAGCCGCCAGGGGGCGCAGCGAGCTCGGGCTCCGGCCACCATGGCCTCGCCCCTCCAGGCTCCAGGCTCCAGGCCTTGGGCTTGGCTGTTTGGGCTGCCCGCAGGCAAGGCCAGGAGGGCTGACTGGCTGCTTGAAGGCCCCATCCACCCTTGTCCCCCACAAGGCCTCGCTCTGCCCTACTAGAGATGGCACCCCCATCCCACAGTTGTTTCCCCTGGCCATTCTCCAGTGACCGCCCCACTCAGCCTTCTGGGCACCTGGTGGGGGTGCGGGATGGCTGAGGACCGTAGCTCCGGTCTCAGCGCGGTGTGGCCTTGGGAAGCTTGCAGTTTCCCGGGGAGAGCAGGACGATGAAACGCCCTTATTAACAACAGGGACTAGGACAAAGTCTGACCCGCACCCCCAGCCCTCCCCTTTCCCTGGGGATCTTGGGCTGAGCTCTGGCCCAGTCCTGCAGGATCTTAGCACTAGGATTCTGGAATCTGGGAGAGCTTGAGGCTGGGGTCCAGGAGCCCAGGGTGCTGGGGCCACATCGGTTGACAGGAACACTTGCACGCTGCCACCGCTGGGGTAGCGCACCTGGTTCCAGGTGCACTGCTGCAGCAGCGAGAGTACCAGTACAGGCCCAGCCAGGAGGTGGGTGTGCAAGGTCTGTGCCAGTGGGCACACCGTACCCGGCAACCACGATCACAATCATGTCGCAGTTGGTGTGCCCTGCCCAGCGGAGCCAGAGCACCGGGCCCACGTCCGCTAGTCTGTAGCACAGAATGTATGCTACCGCTGGCCAGTTCTCCCCAGTGGTCAACACAGGCAGCAGTAGCATCGTGACATCCTGGGCCTAGCCACTGTGGGACACCGCATGGTTGACCAGCGGGCGGCTGCCCTGGTCCACTGCCATCCAGAAGGGGTCATAGGAGGCACCATCAGGAGCAGCAGCAGCTCTGGTTGCACGGGCTTGGGCTTGGGCACATACTGGTAGTTGCCGCTGGGCACCTGCAACAGGCTCGAGGGCTGGCCATGAGTCAGCTGCACTTCTGCGTTCTGCAGGGCTGAGGGCCTGGGGGACCACTCCCAGGGCACACAATCCGCATCCTCTGTGTTGGGCACGGAGTTCAAGCCGTGGCCGCCAGGGACAACAGTTGGAGCAAAAGGAAGAGGGGGTGCTAGGAGTGTCCTGGTGCTGGGGCATGAAGACATGCCCTCCCTGCTTGCCCCACTGCCAGGCCTTGTGTAGTCACCCAGCCTTGTGGCTGCTGGGAGTTCCCCTAGTGCTTCCAGAACCCCGCCAAGGGTAAGGAGGGGCCTTGCGGGCTGGGGGCCTCCAAGGGGAGGTAGGACAGTATGTCAGGGGTCTCGGGGCTTTCAGGGTGCAGGCATGCCACATTCATGAGTCTAGGCTTCCAGGAATCTATCAGTGCATTACTTTCATAAAGAGGGTGGTTGCCGCCCAGCCAGCACGGCTCAGGGGTTGCCCATCAATCCATGAACCAGGACGTCATGGTTCATTCAGTTCCCCATCAGGGCACATGCCCTGGTTGCAGGCTCCATCCCCAGTAGGGGGCATGCAAGAGGCAGCTGATCAATGACTCGTCACTGATGTTTCTATTTGTCCCTCTTCCTCTCTCTGAAATAAAAAAGTAGAAGGTGGTTGTGGACCTCTGTCAGTGATTCTGAAACCCCACCACACTGAGTCTAGAGTCCTACAATTCTGCCTTTCAGTGATCATAAGATTCTACAGTTCCAATTCCTTAATCAGGTAACTCTGAATTCAGATTTGGGAGAGTCTTAAGTATGAGTCCTAATATCTTCAGTTCAGTGAGTCTCCGCTTCCAAAAGTTGAGGATGCCCTGCACCTGGGGTGGGTGGCATCAGGCTTTAGAGAAGCACTTCTGAGCACTGGCAAAAATCCCAGGGGTCTGAAGAGTCTCCTAGCTCCTCTGGCTTTGAAGGCAAGTCTTGGCTTCCTCAGCGTCCCCTCATACTATTTTCACTTTCCCAGAGTTCCCCCTGGACATTCTTTCCACCTGCCCAGCTTCTGGAAAGACTCCACATGCAGCCCCTACCACCTCTTCTCTCCTAAGACTCCTTGCTGTCTGCCTTCTGCCCCCACATTTGTTGCTAGATCCAATGCACCTCGCCCCCTAGGTGCTGGCCTCTAACCCCTTTGTCCACGTGGCCCACTCCTCTAAGAGGTCAGGCCAGAACCCCTGACCGACTGGGCCATTCGCCAAGAACTTTTAACCTCTTCGGCTGTTGCCTGGAAAAGTGGCTTCTTTCTAATGGGCCATCAAATTGCTCGCTCTCTGTGCATGCTTTTCACTTCAGGCCATAGTGAACTAATTACAAAATTAGTGGCAGATCTTGTCCCTGCTCTAGGACTTTTACTAGTTCCCCATTGCCCTCTGGCTAAAGCCAGACTCTTTGGGCTGGTACATAAGCTTTCCAGTCTCCAGCCAGACAACTCCTGGACCACGCTTGGAGAAGCTGATAGGTCTCAGTCTGGGGGAGGGGTCCCATCTGAAGTCCGCAGAAAAGGGACTCATATTCTGGTTCCCTAGCCTAGGACACCTTACTGAAGACAGGAATCCTTCCTGAGCTTGGACTGGAGCAGGGAGAGGCGAGGATAGGGCATGGAGTCGACAGGCAGGGCCACAGGAGGTGGGAGTGCCAAGGATGGGCTGGGCCCTGGGCATGGAGGGGTTAACTACAAAGCGAACCTCAGTGAGATCAATGGGTTACTCACTGCAGAAAGAGGCAGAAGCAACGCAGAGAGGCAGAGAAGAGCCTGGCAGGAGAGCGTGCCATGAGGGGGAAATCGGGGTCGGAGGAGGAGGTGGCCACTGGGCACTCCGGAGGGACTGCCCGAGTCTGGCTCAGCAGAGGAGGGGCCTTAAAGGGGAAGAGGGAGAAGTGAGTGAGAGGCAGATCTCCACCTGCAAGGAGGCAGCCTCAGCCTGACCGGTTCACCCGGGAGCAAGCGGGGACCCAGCGCCCAGGAGTAAGGTGGGTGTTGCATGCCAGGAGCCAGGTGGGGGGGCATGCATCTCTTTTCTTCCCAACCCCTGCCTGGCCCCGTTGCCCTTAATCTGTCCCTCCAACCTAGAAGTCCCAGGCTTCAGGGGGAATCCACAGGTAGTAGCCGATGTAGACTGGGGTGGGGAGGGGTGAGGGTGGACACGGCTTTCACAAATGCACGTGAACACGCGTGCAGGTTATTGCAGCACCACCTGTTACATACAGGCTCTCAGATGAGCACTGCAGCCTGGGAGCCAGAGAACCAGGTGGCAACAGCCCCATACCCGCCACTCAAAGTGATCTTTAGCCTCCCATGTACCCTCTCTGAGCCTTGATTTCCACATGTGCAAAAGACGCAGTGACTTATATGCTTTTCCCAGCGGTGTTACTGTGGGGCTCTCACTAAACTGGACTCTCCAATGTCACAGGGATGTCACCCATGTTTTGCTGGCCTTGACCAATGTCCAAGAGTCTTCCCTGAGCTTCAGATCCCCATTAAGAAGAAAATAGAGCAGCTCCTGAGGTTGGAATGCCCCTCTCCTCACCCACCATGTCCTCACCCCTCTCTGCCTGTGTCTTTACCACTGCTCCATTGCTTGGAGGTGTCCAGCAACTCCCTAATCAGCCCTCTCACTCAGCACTGGGGGGGTGTTCTCTAGGAAACTGAGAGACCCACCTCAGACACCAATGTGACCGTGCCAGGTGCTTGCACAGTAGGTCTCAGAGATAACATGATAACATATGGCTCTGTCCCCCATTCCCGCCCCCAGGAGATCTAGCCAGCCCAGGCTGAGGAAATGAGACCCCTGGGTCAAGGGACCAGAGCTGGAGCCCCTGCCTGAGAACTCCAGCTTCTCTTCCCCAGGTGACCATCTGTTGGAGAGATGACTGATGCCCAGAACATTTCGCTAGGCAGCCCGGGGAGCGTGGGGGCTGTGGCAGTGCCTGTGGTCTTTGCCCTCATCTTCCTGCTGGGCACAGTGGGCAACGGGCTGGTGCTGGCAGTGCTGCTGCAGCCAGGCTCAAGTGCGTGGCAGGAGCCAGGCAGCACGACCGACCTGTTCATTCTCAACCTGGCGGTGGCTGACCTCTGCTTCATCCTGTGCTGCGTGCCTTTCCAGGCTGCCATCTACACGCTGGACGCCTGGTTCTTCGGGGCGCTTGTCTGTAAGGCTGTGCACCTGCTCATCTACCTCACCATGTACGCCAGCAGCTTCACGCTGGCCGCGGTCTCCGTGGACAGGTGTGCTGGCTGGGACCGGGCTGGGGCTGGGCTGGGGAGGGAGACCGGAGCAGATGCCCGTGGGCCTTAGGGAAGGGAGAACGGGCGATCAGAAAGGGAGACGGGCGAGAGGAAGGGAACGGCTCTCTGGCGGCCACCACCCAGGCTCCGGGCACCTGCAGGGTGTGCTTGAGGGGACCATCCTGCCTTGCCCCATATGCCATAGTGAGCTCCCCCCAAACGTGTGTTTCAAGTGTCGGCACAGGGCCTGGCACACAGTAGGAGCTCTGTGAGTGTGAAATGAATGGCAAAATGAGTACACAGATGAATTCAGATATTTTAACTTCTTTTAGGAGTTAACTTATTTATTTATTTATTTTTGTCTTTTTAATTGATTTGAGAGAGAGGGAGGGAGAGAGAGACAGAAACATCAATGATGAGATTCATCACCTGGCTGCCTCCTGCACGCCCCCTACCGGGGATCCAGCCTGCAACCTGGGCATGCGCGCTGAGCGGGAATCCAGCCGTGACCTCCTGGTTCACGGGTGGATGCCACGCGGGCCCAGAATTCAGAGATTTTATTACCACCCACGCCTGGCCCAGCTTGTGGTCATATCTGCTTTCGCGGCTTGAAACTTGGGGTCAAATTCAGGCTCGCTCACTAGCGGATGACCTTGGCCAAGTCACGTTTCTCTGCGCCTGCAGGCGCGTCTCCAAGTGCGGTGCCCTTAACCCCCTTAATCACCCCCACCCGGGAGGCAGGTCGAGCGGTGACACCCAGCGCACC